AGACAACTGGACGCCCTTTCACAAACTACTCAGCCTGGCGAACCTGGCAAAGGTCTGTTAGTTTTGTGATTCTTAACATAAAGAGTCTGACATATAAGCTAGATCCCGTCTTGGCGAATGCGCTGCGTGAATGTATCGAAAGTATTCTCCAGAGCTGGAAGGAGACGGGTCATCCTGTGGTGGTTTGTGGAACAACCGCAGACGCGAGTCAAGTTTCGACGTCAATTCAGTCGAGCTTCAAGCATGAGGTCCACTTTCAGGTTCGCTTTCGGGCTGGCGATACGGTTCGACACTCATAATGTACAGGCTCCTGCAGAATCACATCGACTCGAGATCCTAAAGTCTTTACTCTCAGATGCAACATTATCGCCTGACGTCGGAATAGAGGCTCTCGCTACTCAAACGGCCGCTCTACTTCCAAGCGATCTGCATGATCTGGTTCTTCGAGCAGAGTTGGCAGCGATGAAACAAGCATGTAGCAGAAGGTCTGTAGCTCAAGACTTGTTGAGCCTCCCAATTGAATTTATACAGTGGCTGTGTCGTTGATGTGGTTCAGGCCGGGATAACATTCACCAATGCTCACTTCATTGACGCATTGGGAAGTGCTCGAGCTTCATATTCCGAGAGCATAGGAGCCCCAAAGATCCCCAACGTCTCTTGGGATGATGTAGGTGGTTTGGCCCACGTCAAGTCGGACATACTAGACACAATCCAACTTCCACTTGATCACCCAGAGCTTTTTGCCGACGGCCTGAAGAAGCGGTCAGGTAAGCCAACCGTATTCCAGTCAAGTTTTCTTTTCATCAAGTATAGGTATTCTTCTATATGGACCTCCTGGTACGGGAAAGACCTTGGTTGCGAAAGCTGTGGCGACATCCTTCTCCCTGAATTTTTTCTCTGTGAAAGGTCCCGAACTCTTGAACATGTATATCGGCGAGTCCGAGGCTAATGTGCGACGAGTCTTTCAACGGGCTCGGGATGCAAAGCCTTGCGTCATTTTCTTTGACGAGCTGGATTCAATAGCTCCCAAGCGGGGTAATCAGGGCGACTCTGGTGGAGTGATGGACCGCATCGTCAGTCAGTTACTCGCCGAGTTGGATGGCATGTCAGATTCGAGCGGAGAAGTTGAAGTCTTTGTACTGGGGGCAACCAATCGACCAGACTTGCTCGACCCAGCTCTGCTTCGTCCTGGAAGGTTCGTGCTTCTGTTACACCAATGCTTTTACTGATTGTCTCGCTAGATTCGATCGGATGCTCTACCTTGGTGTCAGCACTAGTCATACAGAGCAGCTCAACATCCTGCAAGCTCTGACAAGAAAGTTTGCACTGGACAGTAATCTGGATCTGGCAGTAATCTCCGAGCAATGTCCTTTCAATTATACAGGAGCAGACTTTTATGCACTCTGTGCCGACGCTCTGTTGAATGCCATGACGCGCACCGCCGAGCTTCTCGACAAAAAAATTGGTCAGCGAAAAATTGGTTTTAAAGGACAAGCGCTCATCATTTTCAGAATGTTTGAACAATGGCCCTCCAGACCCAGGACACCCATATCCCCTCACGTCTCAATATTATCTCGCAGAAATCGCCAAAGCGGAAGATATGAATGTCATTGTAACTCAGGATGACTTTGAGCGAGCTCTGGCTCAGCTTGTTCCCAGTGTCAGCGAGTCTGAAATGAACCATTATGCCTCTATTCAGCAAAGATTCTCTCAAGAACAGCTGTACAGTAAGTAAGGTATATATATCGATGTAAATATACAGCCATTGATCTAGAACCAACGACTTGGTTGCATTCCAATTCTATCAAAGAGGTCTTTGAAGCTTGTTGTCACCAGCGCTCCGATGGCGTTGATCGTCTGGATTTTTACCGGAGTGCCCTGGATTTCAGTACGATAGGCTTCGTGACCATCTATCGTGACCTCGACCGTCAATGTAGGTCTAGCTCGGTCGCGGGTGTCGACTTCGAATGACGACCTGTCTTGAATCAGCGACCGACCATCAAAAGGGAGAGAAAGAAATACCATTTATAATTGCCTGTCCCTAGATACTTTTTCACTGTTTCCCGAGGGACAGTGCTCATTTCGTTGGATGCATTCCGGATGTCGATGGTTTCTTCGCTCTGTCGTTTAAGTGTTCGAATGAAAGGTAAGGCGAACATGCTCAGCGGGCTATCATCAGGTTTAGTGTACCACCTGTGACGTAAAAAAAGTTGGCTTGCCTTGTCGAAAACTCTGTGATTTGGTGACTTGGTCCATTGAAAGCGATTTCCGCAAATTCATGTCTGTCACCGGAAATGATGACGACGTTTGGAACAGAATGCATAGCGTTCAAAAGCTCTGCCTTCTCTTTGGGGTATCCACCCCAAGTGTCTGTCTGACCGTACGACCACAGTGAGGTAAAGGGAACAGAGGAGACGATGAATTTGAACGTCGTGGTAGAGTTGACTTTGGCCAGCCAGTCTTGTAAATCGGCCAGTTGAGATTCACCGAGCATTGTATGCTCAACAGGATCTTCGAGCTCCCGGTTACGGTGGCGTCGAGTGTCGAGCACAAAAAAGGCGGCATCTCCATATTGGAAATTGTAATGATGTTGATTTTTGCTCATCGAGTCGTAATTCGCCGCTCCGTTGTAGATATTGTATGCATCAGAAGCAGCAGGAAAAGGTGCGTTGGAATCATTGCTTTTGCCCATGTAATCATTCTTGATCTAAACGTGTTAGCCATAATGCGGAATGAAGGAGGGGCCTCTACCTCATGATCGTCGTAAATATGGAAAACAGCTGGGAAAAGTTTAGGGCCTAGTCTGGCTGGAGAGAGTTGCTCACGTAAACGCTCGTATATTTTCCGAAAGCTGGGGCTCTGGTAGTTTCGTCGGTATAACCGGCGATATGCATCTTTGGAATTGCCAAAGTAAAAAGGCACATCGGAATAGATGAAGTCGCCGAGGAAAAGCATAAACTCGGCTGGTGCAGTAGATTTGACAGAGGAGAGATAATTAGCAAGGAGGTCGAATCCTTTGATAGTCCGCCCTTGGAATGGTACATATGGAAAGTTGGGTGTCGCACAGGAGGAAGCGACAAATCGGAAATGCGAACCAGTAGGGAGCCTTGGATCTGGAAAGGTTTGGAAGGATATCGGAGTGGCAGGATAGGGTAACAGTGTCCTGTTGGAGGCCAGGGCATCTGTAGACGACCTGAGAACCTGTGAAGGCAATAGAAACAGATACGAACACTCATACGCGGTGCTAGGCCACAGACCCGACAGTTTCACGGTACTGGTCCAATCCTGCTCTTCGCTGAGACTTACCAAAGGACCGTCTCTCCAAGGATAAGCGGTTTCGTTAAGATCTGCGACGACCTGTCTCCAAAATATTTGAACATCATTCTTCGTGTCATTGCCTGCGGCCGGGTAGCGAACAACGATCTTGGCGCTATCCGGATATACAGCACCGACTCTGGTGAAGGACAAGTCTCGAGCTGTGTCGAGGTAAGGAGTTGCAGTGAATTCCAAGCAGGCAAAGAATATAATGGAGTTTATGGCAACTGTGATGTTTCTCAGCCGCGTTGACGATATCGGAAGAGAGAAAAGGGCAGTGGCTAGGGAAAGCTGCTTCTCTGCGACCTAGAGGCAGGGGTTTTAGGAGATAATTAATGTAGAACGTGGAGGACACACTGGAGGTTCATCCTTTTCTTTCTGAGCAGCTCGAGGTTTAACCAGCCATGGTGAAGAGAGCAGATGTGCGAGATAGAAAAGTGGCAGTACTGTGGGCCCGAGCGACGTTGGAATCTGGCCAGAGACTTTGTAAGCTTTTGCAAACGAACATTGGTGAACAAGTGATTTACCACTCTTAGATAGATGAAGGCGGCCAGACGGAAGACCGTCGACGAAAATGCCGCGACAAAGTGCGGGTACGACATGACAAAAGTGTCACAGTCACCCGCCGTCTCGACAATATATATCCAAATCTCCTCGTCGTCGGTCATCTCGCTCAAGCAAACACCTGAACTTCAGTTATGACTGGCCCTGCTGGATTTCAGATCTTGCCATTGGATCCAAGGTTCCAAAGGCCCGTGCGCCACAATTTAGTACACAAAATGCGTTTTCCATTGAAAAGCGAAATTAAATGTCATCTATGTCCACCTCTCCCTCATCTCCAAACTCAAACGTACACTCGCCATCTTCTTCTCCAAATGCATCTGTCTCGTTGATTTTTGCATTCTCCGGTAGTTCTCCATAGGCTTTCACTAGGGGATGTGGTCAGACCAAGTGGGAAAAAAAAGGGAAAGGATCGACAATTTCTGGCCTCGTCAGAAGTGTACTTTACAATGACATCCGCCTTATCATCCTGGAAATCTCGCAGGGAAAGTAGCACGATATCGCCCTGATTTATCCACACCTAGAGCCAGTGTCAGCAATTAGGAGATCTAAGCGATAGAGACCGGCCTTTTTCCTCATCTTTCCTCGAATATGCGCTAACCGCTTCTCTCCATCAAAGCATTGAGCCTCAAGTCGTCCATTACCCAGCATTTTTATGACCTGAGTTTGATGTAAGATCTAGAAGAAGAGCGGTGTATGACGGCGCACCTGAGCATACTCTTGTCCATCTTCTCTGAAAACGAGCTCCCGCTTGTCGTCGTCGTTCTCATTCTTTCCTCTTCTGCGATTTTTACCGCCCTGAACATCGATTATGAGGGATCAGCAAAGATGTGGTGAACCGACCGACCTTTCCTTTATTCTAACCGATAAAGTCAGTAAGCGTAGCGTATAGGACCGATACACGGACCTTGGGCATCGTGAAGGTGGTAGTGAACGGCTGTGTTGCTGAGTAAGCAGGATTGTGATGCGTTTCAAATTTCCAGAGCTCGAAACATCTCGCCTATCAGCTCGGTTCCATGGGTCGATCCATTGGTGCTGAGCTCGTACAAGTACAGCCTCTCACAGCAGCAAATCGTGGACTGAATAAAAATAATAAAAAAGCCCTCGCTGCGCTCGAAAAAGAATGGCAACACCGTGGCTTGAACACGGGACCTTCAGATGACAAGGAATCACTTCAGTCTGCTGCTCTCCCAACTGAGCTATGTCGCCGACGGAGAATATGCATGAGAGTTTGATATAATCAGACGCGTGAGTGATCGGTCATGCCCACTGAGAAGTCAGGCGAGGGACTGCACGCGGACGACTAAAACGACTGTAGTCAACTACGGCAGATGGTGGGAGGACGGGAGTTGCATGTTGGGGATTCAGGTTCGTGTCGGCATCTTGACCAGCTAGCGCGCGCTTCTTGTTTCGTCTCGTGTATCGGACTTGTGAAAGAAAATATTTTTGATCAAATTCCCACCATCTTGCCTTCATCATTCCATCGTGCCTTCTAGATCTGGCATTCATATTCTCTCGTTTCTTGTCCAGCTGCCTTGGCTCTTCCAATTAGAGTTTCCTAATGGTCAATTAATTCCTTATCAATTTGGCCCTTACCGCTGTAATCGCCCGATTCCCTCGATCTCTGAATCTATGGCCATCAATTATGTCCTATTATTTCTCGGAGACATTGATTTCGCTCTCTATAGAGAACGTGTAGGCTCTGATGCGACTTGAGGATATATGGTCCATTTCTATTGAATTTCAAAGGTGCGCGATCATTGTTTTCATAGCACTCTCTTGCTCTATTCATCCATTCCTTCCGCTGTATCTGTCCTTGGCATTCTGTTCCTCTCGACAAATCTGACATTGATTTTCAGCCTGATTTCCCTCCAGCAGAGACAACAATTGGTCAGTTTGCTTCTCATTTCATCTATTCATTGCGCTGATCACAGTAGAGTCGACTTGTGCACCACATTGGACTTGGGCGATGGTGATTTATCAGCGCAGAGGGACTTGTGACTGGAACTTTGTGAGTTTCTTTGATTTCAGTCGTCGATTATACAATTTATATGATTCACGCAAATGCCAACCCGCCGACCACAGTCGCCAATAGTCGCCCACAACAACTGTCGCCGACTGTGGTCGATTGAATTGCGCGGAGTGGCGGATAGTCGGTTGTAGTCGACCATAGTCGCCCGACTTCTCACTGGGGGTCATGAGCGCATGAGCCATCGTGATACTTCTTTGTTCTCGCATTTTCAGCTGTACTATTCGTTCGTCTGAGCTCCAAGATATAATATATAAATATAGATTCTAGCATAAAATAGACATTGCTGAAGGCCGCTTACAGGCTGGATGTGTGCTGTTTAATAGCTATAGCGGTATCTTTTTCTGTTAGATTGTTACATAATTTGGCGAATCTCTATCTTTCTAATGAGTTTCTTGACTATACTTACCGGCAGCTTGTCTAGGGCCACAATTCAGAGTCGTGAATGGTGGAGCACCAGTGTTTCACTGCTCGCTTCTGGATACCTTATTCATGCATTGCGGGGAACAGCCGTCGATGGACTTGTCAAAGAGGTAATCACGATGATTGGTCATATCCCAACGATGCGGGCCTTAATTCCCACGTGCGATGGGCTCCTCTCAGTCCAAGCAGGATGAAAAAGTTAGTCTGCACAGTGAAACGCCAATTCAGGCATGAACTCGTCCCAATTATCATTTTCATTCTCATTTCGTCTCTAGTTCTCCCCAACTCTCGTAGAGCAACTCGCCCAACGACTGGATTCGTCCGAAGTGCCACCGGAGCGTCAGTCTGCCCTCGACACCGAAATACGTTCCAAAATACAAAAGCAACTCTTCCATCTTCACAAGGAAGAAGAACATGTCAGACAACAGATAGAAGCAGCTCTGGAGAAGGAGAACCTTGACCGAGAGCGTTCCATGGCTGCCGACGACGCAGCTGCTGGCAGTGTCAAGACCAGCGCAGCTTTGCTGGGAGATTTGGAAGAGATTCAGACGAAAATCGACCGATTCAAGTCTCGCAAAGACCTCGCCCATTTCCCTGCTGTAAAGGAACATCAAGACGCGGTTATCGCCTGCTACCAGTGGGTTCATCCTTCCTCAAACAATTTTCTTACTAAATGATACCTAGATCTCAGCCTCAGAAGACTCTCGACTGCTGGCGACAAGTTCAAAAGTTCAAGGCATCTGTAGCGCAAGTAGAGCAGGTCAGTTTCAATCATCCTCAAATCATTTCTATGTATTCATCTCGTGCGTAGGACTACTTTAAATCATTACAGTAACCGTGTCCGTAAGTTATAATAAAAAAGCAGTCAAGGATTCAATACGCTATCCCAACCACCGGTTTCGATATTGGCCTCGCAGCTTCTTCGACTGGATCGTCTTGAGAATACATTGACGCAGATGTCGCCTGCGAAAACCTTCCCGAAGTCGCTTGCGAAAGTCTCGTTCCACCCCGACTACTTCTAGACAAAAAGGTCCACATTGAAGTCCTGGAACCAGCAGAGATACGAGTCCCAGTCTCTAGGTTTCCCAATGCATTCAACAACATTTGAATGGCTGTCGGTCGCTGTTCGGCGGTCTCTGTCGAGTGCATGGAAGAAGAGCTGACATGAGATGGCTCTGGCTTTTCAGGCTCTCCAAGACGTTTGGCCTCTTTTGAACCTCGCAGAGGCATTGGACGCGAAAGAAGTAAAGGTGCCCCATCATTTTTCTCTGCGTCATGGTCTGCGGCAAACTTGACTTTGGGACCAGAGACAAAACGTTGGTTGGATTTCGGAGAAGGGTCAGTGAAGCCGGCAGCATTTCGCACAGTATTTCGCATGGTCAAGCGGGCTGCTGCCTGTGGTGCGTCAGTCTTTGATTACATCTTAAAGCCTCGCGACTGACTGCTGCTTTTTCTTGCCTTGCAGTTCTCTTTGTTATCTTTCCCCACATCATCCATATTAGGACGGCGACGACTGCGAGACAGGCGCCTCCAGCTGTACCTCCAGCTATGGCAGCTGCTGGTATGACATTGTCAGACGAGACTGCAGTCGGGGCCTGCTGGTAAATGGTAGTCGTAATTGTGGCATGAGAGGTCGTATGGCTTAGAACTGCCACTGAGGACTTTGAGATGAAAGGCATCAAGGACAAAGAGAAGAGAACCGAGCTCGCTTATATCGATAATCAAAGTGGACTAGCCTCATGTTCTCAACGTTATATGACTTTCTTTGACCATTGTTCTCTAAATTTACCAAAGATACCGCGAGGCGCCCTGACTGATTGATATACACGGTCAGGTTCAACCGTCGGGAGATTTTCTTGACCTATTATTGTCATAGAATACAGTCGCACCCACACTAAGTAATTTATCATGATTCGACTCCTTCCATCTCGGCAAGATGAGCCTCATTGAGTGCTTCAGCCTCGGCCATCATGTTTTCTTCAAGAATAGAAACTCTTTCTTCAGCCTCCCTCCGCTCATTATCCAGTTCGGCATAGCGCGACTGAAGCAGCTGCTCTCTGCGCTCAAGTCGGTCAACTTCTTCCTTCAAAGCAGCTACTCTCCGAGGTCCAACGGCGGTTTCGTTGATCCGAAGACGCGAGAAGCTTTCGAAAACGAAGTGAGTTGTCTGGAGTTCTCCGAAAGCATCCGTTATCCTTTTCGACAGTGCCTGCGACCGTGCCTGATAACCAGCAAGCGTCACCCCCAATTTCTTCTCGGCCTTGGCAGCTTTCGTGCTCTCTCGAGTCACCTGCTCCCGGCTTTCAGTCAAAAGAATATCGTAACCTGCGATCCGCTGTTCGAGAGACAATGATTCTGGCTCGACCCAGGTTCGAGAAGACGGATCGAGGGTTAATTGCTGTCGGATGCGAGCCCAAGATTCCACTTCGTCAGGCGTCTCTGCCTTGGACATCTTGATGAGTCCATCTCGCAGTTGCTCCGAAGGAAGGTTCGGGAATCCTGCCAAAGAAGCCATTTCCTCGTGAATCGCTTGGTTCGCAGCATCGATGTCTTCGTCGGTCGGTAAAACATATGTCGAGCGAGTGCTACCGGGATGGGAAGTGCCCGGTAATGGATGGGCGATAGAATCGTGATGCAGCATCTGGACAAGTTCAATGTTGACAAGCTGTTGCGCTGATACCAGCTCTTCTTCGACTTCGACCGCATTTAGCTGTTCTAGTAAGAGAGGAGCATTGACGTTCGATGGTCTGGGTAAACCAAGACGAACAGCTTGCGAGCGCCGGGCTAATGCCTTTCTCTCTTCCTCTTCTTGTATTTTTCTCAGCTTCGCATCTCGTTCAGCAGCGTCCTCTTCCGAAAGCTCGACTTGCTGAGCATCCTCTTCTTCATCTTCAGGTGCCAGAACTTCAAAGTTATTTTCCGGTTTCGGAAGATTCATAAAGCCCGCTTGTAGCGCCCGCTTCGCTGAGCTGGTCCGGAGACGGACGTCCCGAGGAGTTTCGGCGCCAGATGGATATGTACCGTCGGGATTTATAGAGAGCTCGTCTCTTGGGGTCCTCAAAGGAGTACCTGCTACTCCAGGCGCATCACGAGAAGTTAACAGAGGATTCGGGGTGAAGGCGACCTGATGTCTTGGTGTAGCACCTCCTTCAAATCCGGTGACAGCTCCAGGACCGATATGAAGGGGAGTGTTTTCTTCGCCTAGAAGCGGGGTCTGTTGCATGGTCATATTGCGTAGATTTCGAGCTTCAGTCAAGACATTGTCCTCTGTAAATTAGGTCAATCCAAAGAATTGAATGCAAAGACGAGATACTTGCGTTGTGGAGCAGTCCTTGGGGTCCTGGCTGTTCGAGCACTTTCAAAACCACCTTCATACTCGCTAAGAAGTTTTCCACTCGCTTCACTTCCTCCCCCAACCAAAGCCTTTGCATTCTCAGTCGCCATCCCGATTTTCACAATATCCTCCAGCTCATTCTCCCCGACTTGGGCAGCTGGTAGATTTAGCCGGGTTCTACGACCAATGGACTCGGCTTCCTTGAGCTTTTGAATCTGGGCATCTCTGGCTGCGAGAAACTTGGTCTGGTGCTCGCCCTCCTTGTTCTTCTTCTGGCGCTTCTTGCGTTCAGCATCTTCCTCGTCCGGTTTTCGTTTATTTTCGAGACGACGTAGACTTTGGCCTACAGGTGCTGCGGTTATGCGAGCCTGCTCCTCCGATGTGTCGTAAAAGCCAGCAGCGGGCTTTTTCTCAAACGGAATG